AGCGTCCCAATATAAAGGATCTGTAGGGGACAGCAAGAAACATCATCTCTGCAGGACACATTTTATTTCCCATTCCAGTGAAATCCTTGTGGGCTAAGGAAGAAAACAGAATCTCAGAGCAAGAGGAGGGAAAAATCAAATATTTTCGCCCACCTCTATCACAGCCCCCCTTCCTGAGAGCCACAGCCACATGCATATAACAGGAGATAAATATTTTTGGCAGACTCTGCTGTTTATTTAACCCTTTTAAGACACAGCCCTCTGGCATCCCCTCACTCTTCCAGGCACAAAACCCATCTGTCCCTGCCTGGCTGAGCTGGGGCAGCTCAGTTCTTGCCTCTCACTGGACAGGATCTCCCCCAGCCCTGGCTGTGTCCATCACAACCCTGCCTTTGGAATCTGCCTGGCCTCGACTGCAGGAGGTACATGAGCTTGGTCCCTGGGCAGGGACCAGCCCATCCCTTGCAGAGTGGGCAGGAAGGGGCTGGGGGTAGGATGGAGGGATACAGACCCGGGAATGTGGGCTTGGGAATGTGTCAGCAATGGAGACCAGGGGATGCAGGAGATACAGGCCCTGTCGGTCCCCTGCTGTCCATCTCCCTCATTCACAGGCAGGGGAAGCAGCTCCTGGGAGATCCGCATGTCCCCGAGCAGTCTGTCCTCCGTTTGGGAGCTGGGAGCCGAGCCGGGGAGCAGCCCGATGCCACCCATGGGGGCTGAATTTTCCCTTTGGGTTTCCCTTTGGGTGCCTCGGACGGGGGCAGCGAGGGGCCCGGTGCCGGCTGCGCGGGCGGTCCAGGGCACAGCCCGGCACGGGCTCCATTCGGAGGTCAGAGCTCGCCCTGCCCGGCATCCCCGAGGGCAGGGGGCTGTGAAACACCTCTGAGCCCCGGGGGAGGACGCTGCACCCGGAGGAGGCAGAGGAAGGAAAGGAGACATAACTAATTGTCACCTCCCAGTGCACGGAGGGGAAAGGTAACCCAAGTTTCCGCACTCGGGGTGAGCCTCGCTGCCCTACCCGGTGCAGCAGGAGCGGGAACGTTTCTGCCCTTCTCTCTTCACTTGTCTTTTCCTTTTTTTTTTTTTTTTTCCCCCCCTTGGCTTTTCCGTGGGGGAAGGGGGAGCTAAAAGCCCCCTCCGGGATGGCGCAGGATGCTCCCACGCGTCCGGCCCGCGCAGGACTCACAAATCAGCCGGAGCAGGATTAGGGCCGAGGGGCCGGGGCGCCGGGCAGTCTGTCCCGGCCCGGGGGAGCCTCACCTGGAGGGGTCAGGGCTCCCTCGGGGCCGTGTCGAGCCGCACCGGCCCCTCTGGAACTCAGCCGGAGACAAGCTGTGCCTGGACGGGGCGGTGAGGGAGCACGGGGAGCCTGTAGAAAGAGGTCGGTCCCTTTCCAACCCCCTCAAAATAAGTGGTCGAATGCTCCGGGAAGAGCGGAGTCGGCTCGGACTCAGCCCACCAAACGCACCGTGAGCCCGGCAAGGGCCGTACCCCGGGGTCAGAGCTCCCGGAGGGAGCAGGGTCCCTTCCCGGGAGGCCTTCCCGCCCGTCCCATCCCGCAACGGGGATGGCAGAGAGGGGTCGGGGATGCCGGGCATCACCCTCACCCGCGCTGTGTTGCGATGTTTGTATCTAATCCTCTCCGTGAGCTCGGCAGCGGTGTGCGAGCCACGCCGGGGTGCCCCGGTGGGACAGCGAGCCCCGGGAGAGCCGCGGGGTCCCCGTGTCCCCCAGCCCGGGTGACACCCGGGGCTGCGGACAGGGCATCGCCTCTGCCACGCTGCCACCTTGCCTCTCACTTCATAAAAGCATCGCCCACCGGGCCCTTCCTCACAGAGGAGGACCCCCGGGCCCCCTGCCTGCCCCCTTTACCCAAAATCCCACAAACACCCCAAACCACGGCGCATCCCACGCCGTGGGCGCCACACGCAGTCCTCACACGTGGGTGACACCAACACAGGCCGGTGCCCAGCGGGGGCTGGAAGGGGGAGTTGGAGCCCTCGGTGTCGGAGCACCTGCCCGGAGCTGCTCCGCGCCCGCGGGCGCTGCTGGCGCGGCTGCGGGAGGAGCCGCTCCTCGGACCCGCCGCCCTCCGCCGCGGCCTCGGCAACCCCGGCACCACCGGAGGAGAAAATGCGTTGAAAAACTAGTTAAAAAAAAATTAAACAGAAAAACCCAACAGCTCGATGGAACTGCCCACAGACACGGCGCAGGTCCGCGGGCAGGTTTTCGCGCACGGTGGTTTCCTCCGCCGTGAACATGCTCACCGGGTAGATCCCGCATTTCAACATTTTCACATTTATTAGAAGCGATCGGAGAGAGCAGTTCGTACGTATTTAAAAAGAAAAAATTACATGTAATAAAATAGTTATGTAGCATCTTGAAATTGTGAAAACTGGAAACCCACGCGAAACGAAACGAAGAAAGCTCCAGCGGTGGCTCGGCCACAGCAACGAAGGGTTTGGAGCTAGTTTTTTGTAGGTACGGTTTTATCCGTGCCGCCGCGGGGCTGCGGCTTCCCGGGTTTTTATTTTCTTTTTCTATAGCTTTTTCACATTTTAAAAAAAATTATTTTTCTGACTTTAAAAAAATATTTCTCCCCCCTCCCCCTTATTTTTCTCCTTTTTAAAATTCACTTTTGTTTTTTCTTTGTTTGTTTGGGGGGAATTGGTTGTTTTGGTTTTGTTTTCTTCTTTTGCTCTGCGGGTACAGGGACACAGGGATACCCTGCGAGCCGTAAACGGCCGCTTTCGCGAGCAAATAAATACATCTCCAGCCAGTTGAGTTGCATTATTCCGAGGGAAATAGCTGGCATTCCTGCACCAGTTTATTTTGGAGCTGAAATTTCCCACCCTTCCCGCAGCGCTGCTCCCTGCGGAGGCGAGGCTGGACGGGCTCCCCCGGGCGCCGGGACCGCACGGGCGGGCAGCGCCGGCGGCGTGACCGGAGGGATCCCGGGGCCGAGCGGGGCCCGATCCAGTCGGTGGAAGCCTGCGGGTGACAAAATTCTGTCTGCCCGGGGATGGAGAGAGCAGCGGGCGAGATTCGCCGAGGGTTTTTCCCCGTTTCTCTGGGGAGGAGATAGAGGCACAGCGACTTTGTGCAAAAGCGCAAAATTTCCGGGGAACAAATTCCGGTAACGATGGAATTATTTCCTCGCTGGCCGGTACCGGAGGAGAGTTAAATCGGCTGAATTACCCGGGGTAAGCGGGTTGCTGGGACTTAGAGCTCCTTCCCCTCTGAAGTCCCTTCCCGGCTCGCGCCGACGGGGAACAACTGGGAGAGGATTTTGGGTTTTTTTTTTGTCCCCGTCGCCAGGTCAGAGCGACTCGGCCGCGGGGCTGCAGGGAGGACAGGGAGCCCTTCTCTCGGCTGCTTCCCCCGGGGAACAGCAGAGCACCGGGGCAGCCCCGACGGGACGGTGAGGGGCCGGAGCCGCTCTCCGAACGTGGCAAAGCCGCGCGGAGCCGGGCACGGCCGGGACGGGCAGGCTGCGAGCATCCCGCATCCTCGGCGGGCCCGTGGGCCGCTTGAGAAAGTCAGGGCGGGCCGGGGGCAGGCTGAGACGCCCCTTCTCCGTAAGGATGGGGTTTATGCTGAAACAGAACCGGAGCGCTCGCTCGGAGCAGAAAATCACCCGCTCTCATCGTCGGCTAGTAGATCCCCGCCGGGAAGTTTTCGCCCCAGCATCTCCTGGCGGCCCGGGGCGGGGGTGGGGGGCATCACCTCCATACGGGGTGCGGGAGCGAACCCCAAAACCGCAGCGGGGCCCGCAAAGGAGGGAGCCACCCCCAGCCCTCGCCGGGGGCGGGCGGACCCCCCCAGCCCCGCGGCGGGCCCGGGGCGGTGCGGGGCGCGCTGGGGCCGCATGCTGCCCCCGCTCCGCCCGGCCCCGCGCCAGGGGGAGGCTGCGGGCGCGTCCCCCCCGCCGGCAGCGGAGCCGCCGGGACTTATCCCGACCCCCCCTGCCGGGAGGCGCCCAATCCCGATCCCGGCCGGACCGGGGCTGCCCCGAGCCGTCACGTGGGCCGGCCCGCACCGGGGCCGCGTAAAGAGCCCGAGCCGGAGCCGCCGCCGCCACTTCCCCGCCGGGCGCAGCCAGGGACGCGCCCACGGGAGCCGGGGAGGCGACAAGGGGCACAGCGGGGGAGGGCAACCCCTCTCTTCCAGGGATTTTTTTTTTTTCCCTGCCTCCCCCGTGAGCTTCATTGTATTTTTCTTTTTTAATGATTATTTTTATTTTGCTGGGATTTCCCTGGATGGTCTGAGCACAGCTCCATGCCCCCACGGCCATGCCCGGCTCCGCTCTCGGCACGCTGCCATGTGAGTACCTGTGCGGGAGGAGCGGGCCAGGGCGGGATGCTCTTGAGGGGTTCGGCGGCTGCAGCCCTCCGTCTGCACGGACAGGCCTGCTGGAGGCTTACTGCGCTTTCTAACAGGAAAGCGGCAGCGCTGGTGGCTGGGGGACAACGGGGATGCTCCCGATCCTGGATCTCTGCCCAGATCCGTCGGGACCCCGCTCCCGCAGGGAACCCGAGGGGCCGCAGCTGGGCACGTCCTCGCCAACAAGGCCCCGAGCTGCGCTCCAGGCCCCGGGTTTGGGGGGGGAGGGGGGCAAGGACGGGAAGGGAAATACTATTGGGGAAAAAAAATTAATTGTTAGAGTGTTTTTCCGGCCCGTTGGATGTGCCCAGGCGGACGGCGGGGAGGATGAAGTGCCGGAGGGGTCGCTGCCCATTCCAAGGAGGTTAATCCTCTCCGGGCTCAAAGGAAAATTTAAGGGAAAACAAAAGAAAGAAAAAAGTTTACAAATTTCAGCCCCTGCTTGAGGCAAGGAATAGGCGTTTTCGGCGGGGGAAAGGCCGTCGGGTGCCCGGTATGTGCGGGATCTCAGCCCGCTGCTCTCGGTTCTCCCTCCAGGTTCCTCTGAGTGAGCCCCTCGGCACCGCCGGGCCGCAGCCGGCCGGGCCCTGAGCAGCCGCCGCCGCCGAGGACGGAACATGTATCAGGGTCTGGCCCTCACCCCCAACCATGGCCAGTCGGCTTATTCCCACGACTCCAGCAACTTCCTCCACTCGTCGGCCGGCTCGCCCGTCTACGTGCCCACCACCCGGGTACCCTCCGTCCTCCAGACGCTGCCCTACCTGCAAGGCTGCGAGCCGCACCAGAGCCACCTCGGCAACCCCCCGGGCTGGGGGCAGAGCGGCGGCGAGGCCGGGGCTTTCAACGCCGGCAGCCCCCACCCGCCCTCGGGCTTCTCGTACTCGCACAGCCCGCAGGGCAGCAGCCCCTCGGGCCGCGACGGCGCCTACCAGGGGCCCCTGCTGCTGGGCGGCGGGGGCCGGGAGCAGTACGGCAACGCCTTGGTGCGCTCCGTTAACGGGTCCTACTCCAGCCCCTACCCCGCCTACGTGACCCCCGAGATACCGCCTTCCTGGACGGCCGGACACTTTGAGAGCAGCGTGCTGCACAGCCTGCAGACGAGGCAGGCGGCCTTGCCCGGCCGCAGGTCCACTTTCGGTAGGTCGCCGCCGCCCTTCAGCGACGTCTCGGGGCGCTGGGTGGGAGCCGTCCCCATCCCCATCCCCATCCCCATCCCCGTCCCCATCCCCGTCCCCATCCCCGTCCCCATCCCCATCCCCATCCCATATCCCATCGCAATCCCATACCCCATCCCAATCCCATATCCCGTATCCCATCCCCTCTGTGTGTCGGTAACCCGGCCCCGAGATGAGCTGTCCCGCTGGCATCACCGACGACAGAGGAGAGGATGATTTTATCCAGGGATGGGGAGATGGTCCGGGAATGGGGTGTGTGCGGTTGACCTCGGACAGAGGTGGGATAAGGGAGGGGGATGCGTGTGTGACAAGAAGGGCAAAGACCACGTTTCAAAGCAGAGTAATTCCCCAGGAGGACAGAGAAGCAGAGGCCGTTCAACCCCTTCCCTCCCCACCCCACCACCACCCCCGCGATATCTCCTTCCCACAATATCGACTTTGTGCCTGTGCTTCAATACTTACCCTTGTGTTTAAATTAGCGGGGCAGATTTATAGCTCCCTCCCTTTTAAGTAATTTATTGTGGTAAATTAGTTTATATTTGAACAGACTCTCGGTCTCCTCATTTGCCTTCGCCCAAACAGGTCCGCAGCTGCCTTGCTCTGCGGCCTTTGGGGAGACCCCGAAAGGCGCTCAGGCGTTGAACAATAAACTTCAATTCCTTTGCACCCACACCGAGAGTCCCCTTAAACCAAGCTCTGAGCAAATAAGGTTTCGGGCTTGATTTACCAGGACTCTTCGTGCGCGGGGTTTATAACCCCGGGGGCACTCCACCAGCCTCCTCCGGCTGTGGTTTGCAAAGTCCTTTAAAAGCCACTTCAAGATCTCAGCCGCGTTATCATCTTTACTGCGGTGAACCGAATTATCTTATCTTCACCCCAAGAACAAAGTTAGAGCAGGGAAGCAGCCCCCTCCCCACCGAGCTCCCTCCCCGGCTCGGCTTTTCCTGCCGCGCCGGAGGTGCTGGGCAGCGGTTTCTTTCCAGGGTTTTCCCTTTGTGAAAATCCTTTGCATTGTGCGGGGAAGGATCGTCCTGCTGAGGGAGGTGATGTCTCAGAAATCTTTTCTGCACTTTGAGTTCGGTGCTTTAGGAGCCAGGACAGCAGCTACCGTCCTCTCTGCCGTTTATTTTTGCTCTTGGATAGTGTAAACTCTCTCAAGTAGCCTAAACTATTATTTATTTCTTTCTTTTTCTCAATTTTCCTTTTTTTTTAATTCAGTGGACTACTGAAATATTTTTTACCTTTTCTCTTTACATTTTATTTTTATTTTCCATTTCCCCCCCTTTAAAGTTTCGCTCTTTTTCCTTTTCCTTTCCATTGCATCATTATTAATCCGATCGAAGATTTTTAACAAAATAATTTAAAATACATTTTTCCTCTAAAGAAAAGAACAAGAACAAGTTCTTTTTAAAAAGAGGGGGGAAAGCGATCGGGAGAAAAAGACCGATTCTCGACCGAGAGGTGTCCCGATTTCGCTCCGGGCTGCCCGTTTGCCGCTGAGCCGTGCTCGGGGCAGGGAGGCACCTCGGACGGTGCTCTGCGGCTCCTTCCTTGGCTTTTTGTTATTTTTTTTTCCCGAAAATTCCTCTCTAGCAGGAACTGGGGTCCCGGGCGGCCGGTGATGCTGTCCTGGGGAGCCCGGGGTGCCCGCGGGTGCCAGCCCGGCATCTCTCGGCGGGCAGCTCAGAGCCCTCCCCGGCCGGGCCGTCCCCCCGGCCAGAGGCTGGGTGTGTTTCGTGACGGAAATCAGGAAAATCGCCCCATTTTGCCCCGTATCCCATTTATTTTTGCACTCCGGGATAACATCGCACTGTCCCGCTGATGATCCTGAGCGTCCCTTCCCAGGGAGACCCGAGCCGTGCTCAGCGTCTTTGGAGGAATGGATGGGGGAATAGGCGGTCTTTGAACAAAACATTAGAACTTTAAGGTGTGGAAGAAATAAAGGGTTTGTGTCACACTTTTAGGGTGGAGGTAAACCCCCTCCGGACAGGGATTGCCCCTGGTATCGTGGCACGGAGGATTGGGGAGCCGCTCCCGCGGGGTGCCCGGGGACATGCCGGTGCGCCGGGGATGCTGCGGAGCCTCACGGCGCGGGTGTTCATTGCAGAGTACCTGGAGGAGTTCCCCGGGGACGGCCGCGAGTGCGTGAACTGCGGAGCCATGTCCACCCCGCTCTGGAGGAAGGACGGCACCGGGCACTACCTGTGCAACGCCTGCGGGCTCTACCACAAGATGAACGGCATCAACCGGCCGCTCAAGCCGCAGAAGAGGCTGGTAAGAGAGGGAAACCCCGCCGGGATCCCCTGCTCCAGCCCGGCTTGGCTGGACGGGCTGTCACCGTGGCTGTTGGGGTCTCTGGACTTGTGTTAGGCTCTGTTTGACCTCCCACTGATTAAATGCCAGGACACCAGCACAGAACCGGCCGGGGTCAGGGAGAATGGGATGAAGTCAGAGGGGTTTCTGCCCTGGCACGAGTGGAGACAGGGCTGAAGGGACTGGAGGGGTCCCAGGGCAGCACCAGAGCCAGGCAGGAACAATCACTCCTGCCTGTGGTTGGGACCCTGAGGGCTTCCCCTAGCTCTGTTCCTGCAGCGGACGTTCTGCTTTGTATTCTATTATTATTATTAATTATTAATTATTATTATTCCCTAGTTCTCCATGCAGACAGACACGGTCTAGGCAGAGCAGTTGAGCAGGAGGCAGGGCTGGTCCTGAGCTGGCCCAGTGGGTTTGTGGCTGCTCACAATTTGAGCAGGACGAGGCCCTGCTCCCCGCTGCCTTCACCCTCCTGCCTTAGAGCAAAATTTGGGGTTTGGCAGTTCCCAGTTTCCCTGCTGTTTAAACCATTAATTCCCTCTGTCAATGTAATATTGGGCTTCCTCCAATTGGGATCCCATGGTGAAAGAGGAAAGGCACATCCTTTTTTATTTTCTTGTGGAGTCGCTTTGGGATGTTTAAATTTGGTGGTAACAGTTTTGGTTTTAGAGCTTGTCATCAGACGCAGTCATTACAAACAGGATGTTTGTTGGAACTGTTCTGGGGAACAGCTGGGAGCTCCTCGGCCTTTCACTAGGGGTGTATTCCTGCTGTTATTTTTTGGTATTGCAAAACAAATTATTAGCAATAACCCAAAAGTGACGGCTTTCTGTGTATGAAAATCAGTCAGGAATAAAGAAAAAACCTGAGACTGAGCAAGATGTTTAATTCTGATTCCGACCCTCGGAAATGCAGCTCTGGATTTGCAAAATGAAATTAGTAGAAGCTCCATGGAAAATACTCCTGTCTTGTTCATCACATTAAAATCAAGGCACTTTTGTGTAACATTCAGCATTGTCCAACAGGATTTGCCTGTCCCTCCAAAATCCTTCTTAAATCTCCTTAAATGTGGTGACATTAAATCTGAACCCCCGGTCACTGCTGTGCCACAAATCTCAGAGTTACGCTGCCCATTTCTTCAGAGCAAACATGACCTGTGCATACAGAGAGGTGCAAACCAGTTCAAATCCAACTCTGCATTTCAGACTGGCATCCAAATGTGTCACTGGATGAATTTCTAGGGGATTTTTGAGCAGCTTTTCCCTGGGGGAATTGGAGACGTCTCGCTGCTATTCCGTATTTTATTTCCGCACATGGGAAGAGAGACAGCCATGCATTGCCTGCCTGAGCCTCATCTATGGCACCCATCAGGCATTTTTCAACAAACATTTCAACAAAGTTTTCTGATGGAAAACGCCTGTTTGCAGAATTAAGACCATTCCCCAGCGATGAGCAAATATAGTTGGGAATTACCAAAGTACTTCCAAACTTTTTATTGTTTTGGCAATAAATGCCACAATGATAAAGTTTAAATGAAAGAGCTGATTCTTGTGCTGGGGAAGTGTTTTGCTATGGTTGAAATACTTGAGGGGATTTTGGGGATTTTGGTTTAGGATTAGAAAAGGGGCTGCAATTTTGACTTTCCATTCTGACTTTGGAATGAAACATTTTGAAACCTTGGGTTTTCCCGAGGATGTGAAATGTCTTGTTGCAACAAGTTCTGCCCTTTTGGAAGAAGAAGTGATGGGCAAGAGGGTGCCAGCTCTGGGAGCAGAGCAGTGAATGCACTGACTCTAAGGCTGTAGAAACAGTGAAATCCATTTTCACAGTGCAGTGAAACACAGACACAGGAAAAAGAAATAGCTTTTCATCCTTTACGTTATGACCTTTGTTCTGTATGTAGACACTGCTCTGGGAGTTATTCTGACTTCTGCTTTCACAAAGCAAAGTCCCTCAGAAGAGAGCACAACACGGCCCAGATAACACTGCAGGAATGATGTCCTGCAGCTCAGCCTGCTCCTGCATGGGAGGGGGAGAGCAGCAGTTCTGTAGTTTCCACTTCATTTTTTGTTTCTTTTTCTTTTTGAGATAAGGGCAACATCCTCTACGCAGCAGGGACAGCCACTCTGCTCCAGCCTGTGTCTGGATTCAAAAGGCCATGGCTCTCAGCAGAGAGGTTTTGTGTTAGAGGAGGATGGAGGCAGTGCTTTATTTTATTTTATTATTTTATTTTATTTTATTTTATTTTATTTTAGGCAGCACCTTTTCTAGACAGTTTCCTAGTGTGTCTCACAAGATGATATCTAAGACCTAGTCTGAAAATGCAGATCAGCTTTGAAACCAGGAGCAGCTGGTGAAGTTGAAGGCAGCTGCAATTCCCCTGTTAGGAGAAGTTCTGCTCTGCACAGTGGAGCCTGTTGGGCAGATGCAGCGGCTGTCCTGTGCTCAGCAGCTCCCACACCACCCAGAGCTGAAGGACTAACCTGTACTGAGAGAAATGTGCTGCTCCAAACCTGCAGCTGAATTCCTCCAGCTTGGCTCAGAAAATACTTTTTCTACCTCAGCCCAGGAGGAATTTTTCAGCCTGTCCTTTTTCAGTTTGCAATGCACAGGGGGTTTGGTGGCACTTTAGGGGAAGGTGGGGATGGGGTGGATCACAGCCCTGGGGCAGTCTAACAGGATCCTGGAGTCACCTCCCAGTGTGTGCCTTGGTGTTTTTCTGCCCTCATTTCTTACTGCTCCCTCATCCTCCAAGGAGCACCTTGAGTAGCAAAGAGCTTTAAGTAACAAAGGCAAATCTCAGGGGATGCTGCTGCCTTTGCCTCTGAGCCTCTGAGTCCCCCACTTTCAGGAGCTGAGCCCAGATACCTCAGCACACTTTGCTATAACTTCTTTGCTGTAAACCACAGGTCCCCTCGAACCTGTTGGAAACGGGGGCATAGAAATATTGATTAAATTTGAGGATTCAATACCTTTTTTTTTTTTTTCTGTGAAACCCAGTGGTTTCTTTTCCACATTTGAAAAGGAGGTGAAGCAAAGTCCCTGACAGCTTGGTCTCCTCAGAAGGACCTTCCCTGCTGTCTTTGAATTTTCTGGGCTCACCAAGCAGCTCTCACACACAGTTAATTCAATAGGCACCAACTCACCATTCCTTGAGCTTATCAGCAGCACTTGGCTGTCAAGCCAGGTCTGTGAAGAGTTTTTGTTTGAGTGTATGGTGCATTTGTATAAATAAACACTGAGCACAATGTTGAAGTCAACAACTTCCTAACAAGGTCAAAATGGTACAAAGGCAGTGGGGTGGAGGCAGGCAGAAATGCATTTTCTTTCAAGAGAATTGCTGGGAAGCCAGCAATAATGTATTGTACTCTCGTCCTTCAGTGAGCAATGGTAACCTTGACTGTCTCTTGCTAAGCTGGCAGGTTGTGGTGCAGGGGCAGGTTCTCATGGGGTTTCTGAGGTTTAAATTGTGATATTGGTGATGTAGGATGATTTGTCCTCCCCCTGGCTGTGTGAGGAGGAGCCAGCCTGCAGAGTGACGCTCAAGATGTACAGAAGGCACTTGTCACTGTCCCTGCAGGAAGGCCACGAGCAGGTTGTAACCAGTGCTGGCAGGGTGGGCAGAGCTCTGGTGGGGCTGGCTTTGCCCTTGGGCCACCAGAGCCACAGGTCTCATTGTCACCTCATCTGCAAGCTGTGGACAAACCATTCTGTGAAACAGGGAGAGTTTGTCACTCCCTCACAGGGACCTGTGGTGGCCCAGAAAATTTGAGACTTTCCAAAGAGCTTTGCACTGGTGTTTCCCCATCTGCAGGCAGTTATCCCAGGGCTGAGTGGCTCCAAATTCCCCTCTGTGGCCACAGCAGGAGTTGAACCTCAGAGTCCTTGCATCCCTCAGGTGCTCAGCATCTCCCTCTGCTCCCATCTGAGCCGAGGTGCCTCCTGGTTGCAGGGAAGAGCAGCACAGTCCTGGCAGCAGAAAGGCTCTAAAGGCACTGTGCAGCTGCCCCAGGACCTTGCTGTGACACCATGGCAGGGACAAAGATTGTTGTCTCATCCTCTGTGCCAGGCTTGTCAGCTCACGCTTTGGTGTGGTTTTATTTTTGCCTGGCTATTTCTTGCAAGCTCAATAATTCCCAAAGTGGTGCCATTATTTGCAAATAGTTGCTAAGACCTCTTTGCTGAGCAACAAGTGAATCAAACCTAGGGCATGTCACTTGTGCCCCTTGAAACTCAAAGCTGATCTTTATTTGACTGCTAACCTTGTAAAAACATTTCATTTTTAATCCTCTTCTTCCCACCTCATTCATTATATTGCTCACTCACGATATCAAGCAATAATGGAAAAATAAATAAACAGGGAGTTCTCTATTGCCTCCATCACCTTTTGCCTTTGAGCGGATTCAAAACAATTTTTCTGCTGGCTGAAGAACATATTTAGACACCTGAATGTGGAGAGCCTGAGATATTACTTATGCCAGAGATATCTTACACTTAGTGAGGTCTTTTATTAAAATAGTTTCAATACCTGATGTTAAAATACTTTCAAATGAAATGCCTATTGAGCTGACAAATCTGTATAAAGAGAGATGTGAATTTTCCATCAGCTTGGAGGGAAGTTGTCAGAAATTAGTTTGCTGCTTCTGCCAGAATATTTTCCTTCTCCATTTGGAATTATTAATGTTTAAGAGCCAGCAATCACTGCACTCACAAAATATGTTGTTAATGAATTGTCTTCAGGGTGCTTCTACAGCCTGTAAGAGAACAGATTATCTGTGAGACTTGAAGGATAATCTCCCTGGTCTCATCATGGACCAGTTCAGTTTGGCTCTGCTCACTTTAGCCAACTGATTGCAGTTGTCATAACCCAGAGAATAATTGAGATGTTTCTAACTTCACTGGTAGTTCTGAGTGCAGGAAAACAGAAGAGTTCACTTAAACCATAAGTTTTCTCCATGCATTTAAAGCCCAGCTGGTACTTTCCATCTGAGTGGATGTCTTGGAGGGAAGTTCTCCATGCTCTGAGTCCTGATCACTTCCAGCAAACTTGCTGGAAGTTTGTGAAATGAGTTGCAAGTATATTTTCCAGGTTTACCAATCTCAAAAAAAAAAATAAATCCCAAACCAAAACAAATTTTAAAATCCCAAACCAAACAAACACTTGCAAATTAGAGTGATCTCATTTGAATGTAATTTCTTTGATCTGAATTTGGCTCTCGTGCGTTATGCATTTTCCGGGAATATGGTATACTTGGGGATTTCATTTTGACACGAAAGGAAACTTCCCAGTTCATCTCTCCTGTGTGCACTCACGCGTTTGTTTGCTTGTTTTGAAGTCTTCATCGAGACGTGCTGGCCTTTGTTGCACTAACTGCCACACCACCAACACCACGCTGTGGAGGAGGAACGCCGAGGGCGAGCCCGTCTGCAACGCCTGCGGCTTGTACATGAAGCTCCACGGGGTGAGGAGCACGTCCACACCTGGAGGGACCCTCTGGGATCTGGGATTGCTGCCCAGCAGGTCTGGGAGATCAGCTCTGGAAGGACCAGTCCCTAGACTGGACCCAGCAGAGCTCTACCATCTCCTTGAGCAGTTTAAAGCTCAGTCTGCTGGGGTTCTCCAGGGTGAGGCTGAGGGCATGCTGGAATGCTCTCAGCTCGCCCAGAGATGTGGATGCTCCATCCCTGGGAGTGTCCAAGGCCAGGCTGGATGGGCCTTGGAGCAGCCTGGGATAGTGGAAGGTGTCCCTGCCTGTGGCAGAGGAGCTGGAACCACAATGATCTTTCAGATCCCTTCCAACCCAAACCATCTAGGATTCCATGAAATGAAAGCTTACCAGGCTCCAGTAGCTGGAGGCTGAAGCTCCCCAAACCCAGACTGAGATAAGGAGCTTTTTTCTTCTCTGTGTCCTAGTTAAGAATGTGTGAAGGAGGCTGAGGAGCCCACATGGAGGCTGGCTGATAGCATTTACCCACGGAGGATGGGAGCTGTTGGTGACACGTCCCAGCCCAAGAGGAGACTCCAACCCTCCATAAAGTCTGAAGCCTCTTTACCCCAGGCCTATTCCCTCTGAACCCTGTAGGCTCTCAGTCTGTCAGTGTAATTTAATAGAGCCCCCTCGCAAAGGTCACTAATAAATCAGGAAAAGAAAAATAGGAAATAAAGGAAAAAACAAAATTTGTGGGAAAGCCTTAGCTGTTAGCCTTATATATCTTCCAGCCAAGGCCTGATGCAAAGAATAATAGCTCTTAGTGAAGGACAAGGACTTTAGGTGCTTTGCATGTGCTACAGCACAGAAATAGGGGAGCAACATGTGTGGGAAGGAGCTGAATAAAGTACAATATTAATGATTTCAAACTTTATGAATGTCAAGGTACCACGACCTCTGGCCATGAAAAAGGAAAGCATCCAGACGAGGAAAAGGAAGCCTAAAAACATTACCAAAGGCAAAGCCTCAACAGGTACAGTGTTGTTATTATCCATCCTGGGGTCTTGGAGAACAGTTCACAATGTTTCCTCTTCTGTAGGAAACTATGATAATTAGAAAATAATGAGAATTTTTCCTTGGTGATTGCTTTAGATCTGGGGCCTGTATTTCTGCATAGACCTTGTGTGATAGGAAGATGCTCGTAGGAAATGTCAGTGCTGTGGGCACCTGGTTCCAGTGCACCAGAGCTCATGTTTGAGCAGATTTGGGCTAAATTGAGTAATGGGGACAAAACACTGCCAGACTGTGAAAGGGTTGCTCCTCCTCTATCAGCATCTTCACAGCCTAATATGACACGTTTTCTGACACAGATGTGTTAGAAAGAAAACAGTAGAGTCATGCTGTGAGATGTCATGGTTGCTGTTAAAATATAAATTCCTTTATATTTTAGGTGCAGGTTTGCACCTATGTTGATTCACTGCCCTCTACCAATTGTCTTCCAGGATCCACGACTTCGGCCACTAACTCCCCTTCTTCCATTACCAACTCAGACAGCACGGTCACTTTAAAGTCAGAGCCCAGCACAACCTCACAGTACCCCGGACAAACCATCGTGTCGGTGTCCCAGGTAAGGGACAGGGCCAGAGCCATCAGCTGCTGGGCTGGGTGATCCACACATCTCCATGGCCACTGTCCTGGGGGGCCTTGATGAGGTGAAGCAATTAATTCATTGCACTGTGGCCACCAGCCTGGTGGACTCCCTCAGGCTGAGGAGAGCAGTGACAATGAGCCAAGATGCTGTGGATGAGAAAGGTGGCTGGCTGGATCCTGCTGGCTTCCCATGGGATCTTTCATCCTGCAGTGGAGACCTGGGGTGTCCAAACTCTGCTGCGGCTTCAGTGCTGAGCAGAGGTTAATTCCCACCTCCCGCCATGAAAGCACAACTCTGTTGAGTTGATGAGATCAGCCCAGGGTGGAATCCTCTGTAGCTCCCAAGAAAAGGCACCCTGGGCTTGTGTTATCTGCACCTTACAGCCCTGAGGTGCTCGGTGGCCACAGAGCCGTGATGCTGTCAGAGGCCTCACTTCTGTCCCAAGCTTTTCTTAGGGGCTGGTTGCTATTTCACCTTCATATAGGAAAAAAAACCCTCTAAATCCATCCACACATCAAAATTTTGTGGCCCAACACTGTCTTTATGCTGAGTCTAAGCTCTCCCATTGCTGGACATGTGTGTATGCAGAGGAAGCCCAACCTCAGCACCTAAGGGCCTGGTACAGCACTGGTTATACCATATAAGGTGGGGTTTTTTGTTTGAAAACAAGAAATCTGGTTTGTGCTGTGCTTTGAAAAAACATACACACACCTAAAGATCTCCAAACCAGACATATTTAATCAATGAATAAATGCAGATGGGCCCTGGGATGCCTCCTCTTTGCCCAGTCATTTTGCTTGCAGGGACCATCCTGCCCAGCTCCGGACTGCTCTGAAGGGAACTTCAGCACCAGGGATAACCCACCCTGCTCCCAATGCACCCCTCCTCTGCCCTGTGACAAGGGGCCAGTGGCTAGTGGCAGGTTTCCTAAGGCCCCTCTGCTTCCCTCCCCGGGGCAGGCACAGAGCCAGTCGGACGAGGCGCTGGCCGGCGGCCACGGCGAGTTCAAGTTCGAGCCCGAGGACTACAGCTTCTCCCCCGGCAGCATGGCCCCGCAGCCCGGGCTGAGCGTGCCCCTCCGCCAGGACTCCTGGTGCGCCCTGGCGCTCGCCTAGGAACCGCCAGCCTCCAGCAGAGAGCCTCGGGACCAACGCTTGTGGCTGTGTGACGGGCAGGGGGACAAGCTGCCCCGGCGCCTGGCACCGCGGCGGGCCGAGCACGGCCACGGGACAGGTTTCTCCCGGAGGATGCCCATGGAAAACGCCAGCTGGATGGGGCTGGGATGACCCCGCTGTGGCACCAGGACCCCAAAAACTCAGCCTTCCCCAGAGTGACCAGGGCTGCCTCCCCAAGGCCGGAACCCCGGGGCTGCCTCTGTTTTCCTGGGGAAAGCCTTCCTCCTCTGAGACAAAACCAGCAAATAAATGCATCCCAGAATCTGTTTATTCGCAGTGATTTCTCCCTCCTATGACTCCACCGTGTGCAATTTATTCCACTTTCCAATAAAAGACTGTAATAACATGGCACCAAATAACTTAATTTTATTAAAATGCAAGCTACGTGGCCTGCCTTATGTTCTATTGGCCACAACAGGAAGAAAATAGGAAAAAAAAAAAAAAAGAATGGTTGTTTTAAACATTTACTGTTTTATATTAAAAACAATCATCTCTATAGAGTGTTAGCTTCTGAAGCGTTTCGCATATCAACACTGAGCTGATGAGTCATACATGAAATAAACACGCTGCTCTTCCCTTTCCAGCTCCAAACAAAGAGGTTTTTATTATTATTTTAGGCAAACGACATGACAAAAATGGTCAAAACCTCCCAATAATAAAAGAATACTAAAATGCTGGGTTTTTCTTTTGTATTTCCTGATTGGTTTTGATGTTGCCAAGTGTGAGCATTAGAAAATCAGAAGTTAGTCATCCAAAACTTAGAAAAAAGCATAAGGGATTGAAAAATAAGGGGTGTGTTGGAAGTGTAATTGTTTGAATCCAGTTTTGGGGATGTTTTGAGTGGAAGACTTCCAGTTTTCAGCCATGCAGAGCAAATTGCTTTTTAATTATTTTAATGAAGGCCAGGTATAAAACAATTTATTGGAGCAGAGCTGTAGCAAAAAAATCTTCAGTGATGCAAAACTGACACCACACTTCCAAAAGCTGGCAACAGCATGCTTCTGCAGCATCTCAGAAGTGGGAAATGGGGGTCCTGTAAGCCCCAAGGAACCTGGGGATGAGGAATAGAACCTGCTGAAGGGGAGAGATGGGTGGGAAATGAGGAGGGAGCAAGGTCATGAAGTTACTTATGGCCTACTTTATTTGTTATTTCTAAATAAAATCCCCAGCTTCGCTGTACAGCTATTTATGGCCAGGAAACTGTCAAGTAATAGTTCCTTTATATAGAAGTTGACCTGTCCAGGGCTTCCTGGAGCAACTCTTCCTCTTGTCAGAAGAGATGGATCGCTTGATTTTTATTATAAACAACAGGCTAAGGAGGATCAGGGAGAGTGATTCTGACATCAAGTCACAACTCAGCTGGGATGGAGGATGATGCTTCCCACCATGCAACCCTTGCTGGAGGAAAGGAGGTGCTGCAAGCACTGGGGAACATTGGTCCCCTTCAGGGAGGCATGGTGAGGGTTCAAGCCACCCTTTTACCAAAGCCCATGGATGAAAACTGTCTTCCGAGGAGTATTTCTTGTGCCTCCAGAGCCCCATTAGCAGCCTGCATGATGCCAAGCACCAGTGCCAGGGTGAAGGCTGCCATGGAGTGGCCTCCCTGCGGTGCCAGGCCCATCACTGGCACACCATGTTTGCAGGGCCAGGCTCTGACCATGGATCCACATCTCCAGCGTTTGTTTTTCCACTCTCTGGCCGGCCAACATCCGCAGCAGAGCCAGGCACAGGCAGGCAGCAGATAAGCAGCAGCAGCACGGGGCTGGCAGGGTGCAGCAGCCCAAATCCAGCCCTCGGTGTCCCTCTGAGAGTCGGGGTGATGTGGCCCAAGCTCACTGGCACCCGGGGTGGCATGTCAAGGCAAGGCTGGCAAGAGACAGCAGAGCCTGGGGAATGAGCAGTGTTCCCAGGCAGCTCCCCAAACCCCAGACTGAGCAGGCAGGAAAAAAAAAGGCAGGGCAGCACAAGTCCTGGCAGGATGATTTCTATGGATGGTGGCAGGGGGTCCTCGCTTTTTCATCTGCATGACCCCGAGGAGGAGAGTTATTTTAAAGGCAAACAAGGAGACCTAAACAATGCCAAGATGTTGACACCAGTGGCTCCAGAGGTTTTATTTATTGCCTGTTGGTAACCGTCGACCGAGCGTCAGGATGCTCCGGGGGCTGGTGACAGACGAAACGAGGCAGAGGGACAAGAAGTGAAACAACTGGGACATGTGTAACTTTTCCTTCCTGCTCACTCCCTGCCCTCACTGGGTGACATCACCCACAATGTCAGTTTTTCACTTCTTGGGGGTGTCTTCCAATCTTTCACTCCCATTTCCAGCACAGAAGCCACTCCTGCAGACTTGTGTCCCTTGGTCTCCTCGTGGCAGAGGCAACGTGTCTGCCCAGCCCTGTGGGACAGAGCAAATTCCCTCCAAGCCCTTGCACCCACAGAGAAGCCAGCACTCCTGTTCAGGTCCCAGACTTGCAGACCCACATCCAGACAGATCCATGCAATATTTAGCCATTTTCCTCTCTGTTGCCACTTTGAAGTCCTCCCCTAGGGGATCCACATCTCTTTGTACCCTCCATTACATGGCAAAGAGGAGCATTTTCCCCAGCAGATGTGAACAAAAGCCATGGGAAAGTTTGGATCTTCCCAGCTCAGGGTACATCCTCAGTCCTGCTCCTACAGCCTCCTGGTGGCACAGCCCAGCTCAGCCCACACAGTTTGTCACAGGAATTTGAATGTTTGGGGTGGCAGGGTTGGAGGAGATCAGACACAAAGCTGAGGTCTGGGAGAACCAGACCCTGCAGCTGACCAGGGGCTCCCCCCAGAGCAGGCACTGCCAACAGCAGCTCTGTCACCTTCAGAGAACAACCTTTACTTCTCTTTCCCAAACCTTTCCCAGCCCCCTAGGTGCTCCCTCCCCTTCCAAGGCATGGGGTGTATTTGCTCTCCTGCAGGTCTGGTGGTTTGTGGACAACTATTCTGTTTACTGCTGTTGTACAGCTGCCTCAGAGCTATCAATTGCCTTCGTTCAAAGGTTGCCTGCCCAGATGATTTTACAACATGGCTGCAATGATTTGCTCCATTTTGCACTTTAAACTGATGCCACGGTGATTTCTACCATGTCAGCGAGCAAGTAATGAAGCACTTGAGCCTATAAACACATGTTGTTCTTGTTTATGGTCATATTAATAGCACAATAAAATCATTGCTCACCCAAGCAGTTGCTTAAAAAAAAAAAAAAAATTTGTTTCTTTTAGGTTTCTGCATGGAAAATGGAAAGTTGTGGTTTCATGTCTGCCGGACCCCCAAAGCTCCAGACTCTCTAATGGGGTGTCACTTATGCTGGAGCACAGAACCATCATTTTTCCTGTGCTGCACACAGAAATGTTCAGCACAACTTGTGTGGCAGCTCAGCTGCTCTCTGGCCTCTGCCAGAGCTGCAAATACCACCCAGCTGGTGAGGGGTTTGCGTGTTCCTTGCCCAAGCCCTGGGCACACACAGCCCCCAGCAGAAGCTGTGCCCAGGTCTCTGGTCTGGCTGCTGTGTGCCAGCTGGGGAACACCCCACCATGGTTACAAGGGATGGGGGCATCAAACTTCCTGTCCTTGGCCCTGTGGTTGAAAAGTCTGTGAGGTGTTATGTGGATCCAAGAGATTTCTCCTGGAAAGAAGGTAGAAGCCAGGTACAGCAGTGCTCTAGGGGATGAAGTGGTGTAGGGTTCTCTTGCTGGTTTTTATCTCTCTGGAAGTGATTGGTGATACACAGAGGTCAGTTCAGTGCTCCTTCCCAGTCCCTGTCCACTGCTTCACTGCTCCTCTCCAATGCTTTGGGGTTTTTTTGCCAAGCTGGTGTCATGTGCCAGCCAGGAAAAAAACCTCACGTTGCTTTCCAGGTCAATGTGCTGCAGTAATTAAATATCCAGGCTATTTACTCGTGCAGCAGCTAAAGCAGAGCTGAATATTCAATCTCACCATTGTATGCATAGAAGAAGAAAACAAACAACACCAGTCTTTTCATCACATCAGGTGGTCCTTCCTGGAGAAATCTTTGTGGCCAGGGGTTGGTAGGAGGTGGTGTCCCCAAGAATTTCTTCTGTTCAGTATCAAATTTACATAGAATACTCTTAATGAGGAGCAATAACACCTTCTGCAAAGTGATTTTATTTCAAAGAAGTCCCTCCTCAAAGGGAAGGTTGTTGAGCAGCACATTCCAGAGAGGCTCTTGTTAAAGGGAGTTATTCCTCATCCAGATGTCTTTGAAAAGCAGCAATCCCATGTTCCAGTAAAACTTCTACCCAAGAGCACCATCACAGGTAACATGTCAGGGACACTGCAGGTGCTAGCAAGAAGAATGGGGAGAAGTTTTAGGCAGTTTTCATGGTCAAACGTGGCAAAAAAAGCATCTTCACCTACAGTTTTCTGATGCCCTGGGACTGCTGGGGTTTGCCAGCCTTCGCCCTGTTGTTGCAGGCTCTCCTTAACATCGTTGGGAAATGCATTAATTTTGGGATTTCAAGAAAGGTTTTATAGCAAGCATTTCCACAGCAGTGTTAAATGTAGCCAACAGCAGACCTTGACCATTGTGCTGTTTGAAGATGTTGGAGCCTCAGCTGGTGCAAGGTAATACTGCTCAGCAACTCCTCCATAGAACAATTAACCTCAAAAAGGGATGCTATTTGCATTTCCTGATGACCTAGAAGAAAACAGGAGGAAGTAGGAAAATTTTATCATTCAAGTAGAAGATTCTGTCTTGGTTTGGGTGCAAAACCAGTTGCTTCATGCCCAGGAAAGCTTTGGAAGCCCTTGTATAGGGAATGAGTGCAAATAAGTACACATGGGGGGACAGCTGGATAGAAAACAGCAAAGTTATATGCTTCTTATTTTTTTCCTCCAAACCAAGCAAATGGCTTCAAGCAAACACTGGCAGAAACTTCTTGTTCCAGTTTCAC